ATGTGGACAACATCCGGATACAGGTCGCATGTTAATGCCAAGTGTAAACGCAGCCATGGATTATTTTACAGATCTCCTTGCTACGTTTCTGGACTTGGGAACATTTCAGTTGTGTTGCTGTCTATGAAGGGTCAGACAGCTCTCTCACAATAATTTGTGTTCCGAAGATGAACGAAGGTCTTACGGGTTTGAAACGACATGAGGGTGAGTAATTAATGACAGAATTTTCATTTTTGGGTGAACTAACCCTTTAAAAACAGTTAAACTTACAAGTGAGGCTTAACATCCCAGCAATATGCTCTAGCTGTATGTTATATTATGTATGTTACTCCTAACATGGCGTATGTTGTTGTTTACTCACCTGAAGCTGTTTCTGTGGTTGTGTGGTCTGTGTGGTAGTGGGTAGCGCTTTGTCCCGAGTGCCCCGGGCTCGTTCGACGCCCACCGAGGTCATCATATACAGTATATACAAAACAATGTATGTACAAAACAGAAAAATCTGGAAGAAAAACAAGGCCAAAAACAGGAAGTGGTTATTATTCAGAAACAGCTGTCCTAGTTTCTAGTCCAAATATTTGCTGACACCAGACGAGTTTTCTTTAAGCGAGCTAGCTGACGTTTTCTGCAGATCTTCCCTTCAGTGTCCCACGCAGCGTCAGGCAAACACACAAGGGCCGTATCGGATTTCCTTTCTCCTAAACCCAGTTGGGCAAGATTGAGCAATACTCTGACCGCCAGAAACCCTTGTAGAAAAAACAATCAAGCTTATCCGAGCACTGCTGAAATGAAGACCACGCTACGAGACCACACTGGTGTCTGCTAACACTTCACAACTAGCCTGAAGTGTCCTTCTAAAATGCTCACACTCAGATCACATCACATAGCCATTCCTCATGCATACAAAACGACAACATAGTCCTCCATAGGAATGTTTGAATGATGATCAAAACATCTCGCTATTTCGCTATCCAATGTTTATATCACAAATTTTCTGTTTAAGGTGGCAGTCTGTTAGTCCTGCTGGTAAGTGACCTTTTAATTACCCACGAAAAGCACATTTTCACAACTTCAGATGTTGAAACAAGGAAATATCAAAGGGATAGTTCACCTTAAAATTAATATTCTGTCATCAATGACTCAAGTCGTTTCAAAACCTGCATAATCCTCAGTCTTTAACTCTTTTCTTAGTAATCATGCCATATAACCGGTCCAGTTAGAAAAAAGCACCATATAAGTAGTCCATATGATTCATGCTCTATATTCCAGGTCTTTTGAAGCCATACAATAGTTCTGTGTGAGTAAACAGCTAATATTTACTATCAAATCCAGGGCTCAACACTAAGGATTATTTCTATTTGTCCAGTCGAACCAGTGTTTCAGATTTTTACTTGCACTAACAAAATATCCACTGGCCTCAAAAAATAAATATATAAATAAAAATATTGTTACTTTGACCCCAGCAAACTTGTATTAGCTATAATAAATAAGGTTGTAATGACGCTAAACTTTTAGTTACCTATGAATTTTCACATTTCACACTGCAAAAACTACTAGCCTAACTAATATAAAGCATTATTTAATAAAACATTTATTAAATTAAAGCTGCAGTCCATAAGTTTTGCCTCTTTGTCACCATCTCTGTTTGAAAATCTGCAATTGTAGCTGTGTGCGGAATTATCTTCCTTGCGTGGGTTGTGTGGCGGCACGGCTCCAGTGCGGATGAATCTAATGTTTTGAGGAGCATGTGTGGCAGTCAGTCACCGCAGCCACCTGCAGGATCCTCACATGCGATAGCCTAGTAGCCGGGACAACTTCTTTATGTTTACAGACGTGACGTAATGACGCAGTGCCATGCTCGAATTTCCTGCGAAAACCTACCCGTACCACTCAAATTAGAAAACATTATTATAAGCTAACCGTTGTGAATCGGGCTAAAGTAAGGCGATAGTTTCGAACACTGGCTGGTTATGTACTTGCTCAAATATTGATTTCGGATCATTTTTAAACAAAAAAAGTTACAGACTGCAGCTTTAAGTAAACAGTGAGTAATAAAATAAAAACATCAGACAGTTCTTATTGTTGAGCCCTGAAATCTCATTACCATACATTTAAAAGCGCAAGTTTTTACATTAATGATGGCAAATAACAATACGCGTCATGTTCGGTAACTGAGGGGTTATATCATGTCACAATATAATCGTTAGGGGTGTAAGAAAATATCGATACACGTGAGTTTTGTTTGGCGATACAGTATCGATTCTCAAAAATGGAATATCGATATTTAAAAAAAATAAATAAATCATACAAGATTCATGGCAGTTGTTTCGTTTTGAGTTTATATCCCGACCGCTAGATAGCAGTCTTCATCTCTGAACTTAAACAATGACAGGAAATAATAGCATTAGGTCACGCCACTGATACTGAGGAAAAAAGCATTACAATAAATCGCGCTACCAATGGTAATTTAATCTAAATTAGCTCATATCACATCAAACCGTGCAAATTATTATTATTGTTATACTTTATTCTCAAATTGTTAATGTTAACAACATCAGCATTGCGTGACTATGAGTATAGTGTGTATAAGCAAGTAGATTTCGATTTCAGTACAGTCTAATCTTTAATTGTCATACCACTCGAATTTAATATTAAGAAATTATTTTAACCCAAAAAGCAAATTATGCTCCCTTCGAACTGGTTGTCTTTAAAATACAAATCTTGTGTAATCCCAGGCTATCTGTAATCAGAAGCACATTTAAAATATCATGTCACAATATAATCGTTAGGGGTGTAAGAAAATATCGATACACGTGAGTTTTGTTTGGCGATACAGTATCGATTCTCAAAAATGGAATATCGATATTTAAAAAAAATAAATAAATCATACAAGATTCATGGCAGTTGTTTCGTTTTGAGTTTATATCCCGACCGCTAGATAGCAGTCTTCATCTCTGAACTTAAACAATGACAGGAAATAATAGCATTAGGTCACGCCACTGATGTTAGCGTTAATTTAGATCGCTGCTAGTAATGGAGGATGAAAGAATTGTTCCAGTTCCCGTTTCGGTGTACAAAGCTGAAGTGTGGCGTCATTTGGGCTTTTAACGTCCACTGCGGGACTGTGGCGCGGGCGCCACCTCGTTTCCGCCGATTGCCGCATCCTGTGTGAAGAGCCTCGCGCAGCGGGCGGTAGGGTCGGCACGCGGCGTGCACAGCTTTCTCTCATGGTGGAGGCGTTTTGTGCAGTTGGGGTGGTGCTCGCGTCGCGGTCTCCACGATTCCATGTGGAACATAAATACAAACTGAAAAACCTGTGAAATCCAAGTGGAAAGGTTCTGAGAACGCAACATCTGTATTTATTTTATTGTTTTACAATTGTTTTGTTTTCTTTAGGAATCCTGCAAGCACTTTATTTTTCATTGATATTAAGCAGATGTAATTCTTTTGTTCAGATCAAAATGTTGCCTAACTGACACGCTGCGAGGATAACAAAATATAAGGCTATTTACTCCTCAAATAAAATGTTTTTAAAAAGGTCTTTTAAAACAGGTCTATTATACAATTCAATATAGGCCTATAATTAAAATGTTAACACTGCAGTCATCAATAAAAATCAATAAAATAAAAAGCTTTATTTAGCCTATTTAAAGCGCCAACTTTCAAAAACAACCTGTTTAACACGAAATACGTTTCTTCTCATTTTTTTTCACTATGTACGGGCCACAAGAGAAATATTAAGGGAATAAATGAAAACAGTTAGCTATAATATACCGTTATCAGCATATGTTGAAGTAGATTCGTCTCGCCGTCTCTGAGAATATGCGGCGTCAGATGCAGAAAGGTCTGTCATTACTCTGTCATTCCGTTTTTACTTTGTGCATAGTGAATTGACTGAAATTAAAATGTTCACCCGCATAACTCTTGCGCAAAGTTTGCACGTTGCTTATGTGATATCCATTGGCTCGCCTTCATGGTTTAAAACAGAAATATTTCCAACATTGCGACTAAAGCAATTACCCCCGTACCGAACCGAACCATGACACCACTGTGTCGTATCGAACCGAACCGTGAATTTTGTGAACCATTACACCCCTAATAGATAGATAGATACCAAATTTGGCGTTTTAATGAACAGTATTTGTGTTAACTGTTTGTCCTATGTGTCAGAATTAAGAATTTAAAAACTTACATTTTAATTCTCTTTTGGCTTTGTTCAGTGTTGTGAGCATACCGTATCATGAGACCAATAGTGTTTCAAAACAAATCAAACACCCCCAGATACCGATTGGGTTTAAATAACAAAAAATGATTTAACATTTGGTCTGTTTCTCACCCAAAGCATTGCAACCACATGGCTTTGAAAGATTTGTAACATAGGGCATGAGTGATATGAACTGTTTTTTAATGATACTTTTAAGGTAATTTTGGATCTACACAGCCACTGTCCCCATTCACTTTCATTGTAAGTAAAAGTGCAGATGTCTGCTTTTGTATTCCAAAAAAAGAAAAGAAAAAAAAAAGTCAAATAGGTTTAGAATGACATGACATGGGAGTGAATAAAAAACAGAATTACAATTTTTGGGTGAACTACTGCTTTAAAAAAACCTTCTTGGATTTTCCCCAAAATTAAATCCTCAACTTGTGAAGAAATTAACACTGCAGTCATCAATAAAAATCATTGAAATAAAAAGCTTAGCCTATAGGCCTATTTCAAGCACTGACTTTCAAAAACAACCTGTTTAACACGAAATACGTTTCTTCTCATTTTTTTTCACTATGTACGGGCCACAAGAGAAATATTAAGGGAATAAATGAAAACAGTTAGCTATAATATACCGTTATCAGCATATGTTGAAGTAGATTCGTCTCGCCGTCTCTGAGAATATGCGGCGTCAGATGCAGAAAGGTCTGTCATTACTCTGTCATTCCGTTTTTACTTTGTGCATAGTGAATTGACTGAAATTAAAATGTTCACCCGCATAACTCTTGCGCAAAGTTTGCACGTTGCTTATGTGATATCCATTGGCTCGCCTTCATGGTTTAAAACAGAAATATTTCCAACATTGCGACTAAAGCAATTACCCCCGTACCGAACCGAACCATGACACCACTGTGTCGTATCGAACCGAACCGTGAATTTTGTGAACCATTACACCCCTAATAGATAGATAGATACCAAATTTGGCGTTTTAATGAACAGTATTTGTGTTAACTGTTTGTCCTATGTGTCAGAATTAAGAATTTAAAAACTTACATTTTAATTCTCTTTTGGCTTTGTTCAGTGTTGTGAGCATACCGTATCATGAGACCAATAGTGTTTCAAAACAAATCAAACACC